AGAGTCTCTCCCTGGGTGCCCATTACTTTCTCATTAGCTTAAAATTAAAGCGATGACCTGGGTGTCCTGGGAGCATTCCTGCAAAGGTGGGGGAGTACAGTCTCCACTCCCTTTCACAAAAGCATTCCTATGGTGGGTCTGCATGGCCCATTGCCAGAATCAGTATCTACTGATATGGGTTTGGACAAGAAATCAAGGCAAGTCTGACATAAAAAAAATACATAAATATTGAACAGTCTGTTAAGGATTTACTCATAATATATTTACTAATACAATGCATTTACAAAAACTGTTTAATACTATACACATAAAAGAGAAGAAAATGTCTTCAGGGAGATGTGATTCATCTGTCAAATATTTACGGAATGTGAAATATTCCAGAAGGTGTGCCCTTAAGCGCAATATTTGTGTGTTAAAATCATTGTTGGACATCTGTATATATAAGATATTGTACTAAAACTACTATTTACAATGACCAAAATAACTTAACTTTGAGCATTGCTATCATCATATCATATCATATGCTATTATTGCTATCAGAACTTCATGCTGTCTTTGCTTCAGTTCCAGCATTATTCTTGTATCTCTACACTCACTGAATCAAAAATAATCGAACACAGCGGGATGGACTCTTGTTAGTTTTTCTCAGCAGTGCAGATAGTCTGCCAGATTCCTCAAGAGATTCAATGGGAAGTTCCTAAATCTAGTATTGTTCATTGACATTTTTCCTTTCACAATCAATACATTCTCTTAGTAAATTAAAACATCTGCAGACGACACATAAGTGAAACTAGATTTAAAGATGCCACAGCGGTCTTCGTCAGTACACACAACAATATTTTATTGTCAAACCACTCTTTGCAATGTCCTACAAAAGCAATACCCACAATCTAGATGAAGATATGTAAGCAACAGATTGGTCGAACCACAAAACACAAATAGATAGCTGCCTTTTTAAAGTATATCTTTAAAAGAAGAACTTAGCAGTTCTTTTGAGAAATGCTCATTGGTTGTCATATCTATTTCTGAACAATCATAGTATCCGTTTCATAACTGTACCATTTTTTTGTTAGGATGTGAACGTAACTTGTTGAAACTCGAGAGGGCAAATATTTGCACTTTTAGCAAATCGGCTATTGGCTTTAAATCTCCAACAGAGGCTGATCTTTAGTTTAGGCCGACCTGCTACCTAAAGAATATGCATAATGCTTTATTCTAACATTTGTGTGAGAAGAGATTATTTCCCCAAAGTGCCAACACTGCTCTCACTTTATGGTTTCTGGTAAAAGGGTAAAAAGGGCTGTGGGTGAGTTCGTACTAAATTTAAATGATCAGAATTGGTTACATATATTGGCCCAAAAATAAAATAAAAATATCGTCAGAGCTTATGGCACTGGTCATGACAAAAAACATATTTTGATCTGTAGTTGAAACCAGTTATTTTATAAACAGCAAATAGCAATAGTAATAGTAATTTTTTCTTACTTTTTTCCCCTTATGATTAGAGGTATAATGATAATTGTAACTGAAATGCAATGAATTGCACAGACTTAGGACAGCGCGCAGTAGAATACACATTAACATTAAAAATAGACATGTATGGTACCATAACTGTATCTTATTCTGACCAAATGAAGTTGTGACCCCAGTACTCTTCTTTACATCTGGATAAACTTGAAAAAAAAAAACAGCTATGGTATGTTCTTTTTATGTAACATTTTTACCTAAACAAAGATAAAAGAAGTGTGTTGTAAGGGAGGAAGTGGTGTATGAGAAACCAACAGGTGCCCTTTCATGCACTGATCTGAACAATGTGCACCTCTTATTTGGCAGACAAACACATTTTAACTAGAAACATCCAAACCAAAAGCACTAGCTTAAAGTGGCCACAGCTAACAGTCCAGTCCTCCGTAACAAAGAAAAGTTATTAACTCCCTGAAAGGAGATGAAGAAACAGCAGTCGGGATATAAATGGAATTGTTTGCACTCAGCGGTATGGCATGTGACATAACAGTCAGTCAGGCCCACTACAAATGTGCATGTATCCTAAAATGGTACCAGATTATTCAAACACCAAAACAAAGTCGCAAACTCACCAAAAATCTACACGGAATAGCAGGCAGCACACTCATTTTAAAACCATACTATCATTACCACACCTTGTCTGCACATGCCCACACAGAGCTGCCTGCTAACCCATGTTTATTCTATTGAAACACTACTTATGGTAACATTCCAGTATCATGACCTTATATCTGAGCTATCATAGAAATGCTCAGAAATATGTTCAAGGGCAAGGCCAAGTAAAGAGGGAAATACGCCTCAGCTGTAAATCCATCTCCTGAAATCCTCCACTTATCTGTTCAGACGTGATCATTCTGAATAACTGCCTACATACCAAATTTATGACTTCAAATGGGAAACCCTTCTCATCCTGTTATATATGATTTGCCAATGTATCATCGGTTACACATTTTAGGTCAAATAAACCTCCTGATGCAGCAATCGCTGTACTCTGCATTAACATTTACATCTACAGTCCTCTGCTTGTAGCCTACTGTAGCTAATAAACTTGGTATGATGTGCTAATAAACTTGGAATAACATTGAGACTATTTCCTATATGCACTCTTCACATGGTTGACATGAGTCATGTTTTCCTTTGCTTCCTCCCTAAATACATCATTAAACAAGTACAACGTTTGTCAGATGACTCAGTGTTAAGTCATCCCAAAGATATTTCAGCTAGAATCAGTTGCTTGGCATGGAGGTGGTCAGTGGGTGCTTTAAAGACACAGTCACTCATTTAAGTATCCATGTTGGACTATAACCCCAAATAGGTAACAAAGGATGTTAACAATAGCTAAGCTATTATCATATTTTATTGAAACAGGAGATTACAGGTTAGTGCCAGATCCTAAAGCAGAATAACTAAAGTGGTTTATGTCACATGGGGTATCTCAATTAAATTTATTCAAAACTGATATGAGAATCTCTCCTGTAATAAATAGATACAGAGTATAATACTATAGAATACAGACTAGGCCCACATTTCACTCAGTGTGGACACAGATGTGGTGTGCCGTCAACTTTCCGCTGAGTTAATATTCTTGGGGAAACACTTTACACTGAATGTAATACTCTGTAAAAAGCTAATAAACTACTGACCACTATAACTACACAACTACACAAACAGGATCGAGGAAGCAGGTCATCGTTTTCCATATGAGAGTGGGCAGCAGAAAAGGGACTTCCTTTGCTAAAGGGCCAAATTCCACATGATCCATGACCATTACCTACCCAGGCTGACTCAGACCCCCCACCCCTGTACGCGCCCCCACACACACCATCCTAAACTCTCCATAGTTAGGGCAGAACCTGCTCTTCACAACCAGCTGTTACGGCTTTTCCACTGGCAGGTGACTTCTAGAGACTTCTGTCAACTGTACATTCCTATCATGCCCAAAATGCCTCAATGCTCTTTTATTTACAAAGAGACACAAAATAAGAAGAGTGGGAATTAGAATGGAAAAACAATGAATGAAACTTTGATTTGATTTGAGTAAGTAGGGGTTAGGTGCTCTTTCTGTCCAAAAATGTATAGGCCTACATCATTCACACTGGTCTTCCAAAACTCTCCTTAATTGTACCAAATTGATAATTTAGTTAGTGAACATAGTTGGGTATATATAATGCACACCTTGAAATCCTCTGACAAGTGGCATGACAGCCAAAACCAAAAGAACATAACATAACACAACATAATATAACTGAAAATGGGCTAAGATCAAACCTGTTCTTACGGTGTTTCATGCCTGTCGCTTTGCCTCCAAGAGGGTCAGTAGGCCATCACACGAGACCATGCCACTACTATCTGATCCTTTTTACATGGTATGCAGTTAATGAGCTTTTTGAACCCTCATTAGACACAGCCCCCCTCAAACACACACACTTTCACCAAGTTTTTACCCCCACTCCCAAAAAGCGTGCCAGCCCACTATTGTCTCTGTGTGGAGACATGCAGCTGCCTGCAGTCTGGCCCCTTGGAAGTTACGAAGCAAGAAGCATCACCGACATGACAGGCGCAAAAGCTTGGGTTTCTTTTAAAACCAGTGTTTGTGGGTGGGCAGCCCATGTGCAAAAAGACTATGATGTAAGTCTGGAAGGTCAACACAATGCACATAGTCTAGGCCCTAAAGTCTGCCTTGTGTTGGAATGCCAGCAGTAATAGAAGGAGGCAAACTGTTACATGCCTGTCTATGTAGTAGCATACAGACAGGCGATATAAGTTCTTCTAAGTAGCAGCAAAAAATAATGAATACACCCTATGCATCTCCAAATGTGTTATTGCTTATTTTCAAGATAATGTTGCTCTTCTTGTGTTTTGGCCCCCACTTTCCATTCATGAACAGTTAATTAACTAGGAGGGCACTGTGTAAAAAATATTTGCCTCATTCAGTGACTATTATCTGTGTACATATGCCTTTCAAAGATATTGTTCTTCTGAGATTACTTCCTCTAAAACCTCTCATCTCTTTCTGCCTTAACTTTCAGCTTGTGCCCCTGATTTTTGCTCGCATAGTGGGCAAGTCAGGTTTTGTAACTAATTGCCGCTACTTGACTCTGAAGAGCGAGTCCATAAAACAGAACAACCACTGGCACTTAGTTTCTTTTTCGACTGCGGGGGGTATAAAGTGGAAGTAGAGCTTTTTGCAACCCGCCAAGTTAAAGTGACAGCGACATATTATCGTTCCCTGTACAAAATAACCCATCGCTACGTTCTCAAGGCTAACATAATACAGGAATAGCACGTCGTGTCTTAATAGTTTCAGGCCTCGACAAAGTCTAGTGGAGAACAGAGCAGAGTCGGACTAAGTAGGACTAATGACGGACTGTGCTTGAGTCTGGCCTCTCCCCGCGTCTTGCGCCCTGTTACCGGAGACGCGGAAAAATCTAAGCGAGGGGCACAATTCAGTGGAGGGATGAAGGAAGGCTACTGACCTGGATAAACTGGATAGTGAGGGCCGATTTGCCGACACCACCGCCCCCGACCACAACCAGGCGATACTTCTCCTGCACTGATCCGTCCTTCCAGCCAGCCATCGAGTACACTTATCGCCGCTGAAACACCAGTGAGCAGCAAACACCCACTTTTCTCCAGCTAAAAAACTGACAGAGGCCCCGCAGTGGAGAGACGGAGAGTGCGTGGAACAAAAATACGAGGCAAATTGGTGAGTGTAGTCCGTCAAGAGCGCAGAGAGAGGAGGTCCATTAAACGCCCGAGCTGAAACAACACTGCGATGTTCAAGACGTAGAGACGATAGTGAGACGAGCGAGCCAGGCCAATACTGATGTCTGGCGCTAGGGGCCCTTCTACAGGCTGGCTTTACACCCCCTACACACACAGAGAGAGACACACACACATACACACGCACACACAATCCAGCCCTGCCTCTGGCTCTGTCCTAAAGACGAATATCACACACCCCTGCAGTCACATTCCTGCTCGGAAGGGGTAGGCTAAGCTGCACTAAAGATACATGGGCATGAATAGTGCCTACAGGGCAAGAATATATTCTTAAAAGGTCTAAAAGTCAGTGACACACTTTTACGCACGTATTGCATAATATAAGGGAGTTCATATGGTTCATTCCAAAGTATGCCAGACACAGACTATAACTTTAGCATTTCCACTTCCCTATTTGTTACACACACTCCTATTGGCAGTCTATAATAGACCACCAGTAATTATCAGTGTCACTTTAGAAATGCTTTATCATAATATAATATTGTCTAGTATGAGCTATAGGCTAAGCTAAAAAGTGTTTACTAGAAACTACTGTTTTGAGGCAAGGGCCTATCTCTGCCTTCATAATCCTTTAGTTTTATTTATTTATTTATTTGTTATTTTTTTTATTGTTCAGACACAATTTTAAGAAGGGTCAGCTATTTTTGTTATAATAAAATTACATTTAGGCATATCCCTCAAAACTGAGCATTCCTTACATACTTTTGTAAGGAAAATCCACTCTATAAAGTGGTATATAGTGCATCTCATAGTTATATCAGCCTAGTGTGACTCTGTAGTTATGATGAAACGTTAGATTTTTTTTATGGCTTTATGACTCAGGTATAGAGGCGGTGTTGTCATGACAGATGTAAACCTGCTAAATTACTGTAGAGTCTCTGACTTCTGAGGCGCCATCTAGTGTCCAATAAAGGCTTGCTATAGGCTACATCCTTGATTTCTTTTGCATTATGTCGTTGATGCAATAACAATCTGGCAATGAAAAACATATAGAAATGTAACTACTGATCTAACCATTGAGGAAGAAACAGAGCCAATCATAATTATTTAAATATATAACTATTATTAATAGTTAAGAAAATATGTTATTATTAAAACTATAGTGCATAGTGTTAAATGGAGTATTTTTTTAAGGAAATCATATTAAGTCAACTGCCACCATTGTATGCAGACTTAAGACAATTCCACTTCTTTGTTTCACAACATTTACTCAGATCTTAAATCTACCTCAGCCTTCAACTCACCTTTTCTGACACATTTGAATTATAGTGATCCTGACTTCCGTATTCCCAGAACTGCACTGAGCTGGGAAATGATCACCATGGTATATGGCAGTCTATCATCAGGTGGCATGTCATTTGTTTAAATATAATGCTATATTTTGCATATTTACTCAAATGTCCAGAATCTAGATGAGACTGCATATATATTATATAAATATTATTTAGACAAAGTCCATAGTATTGTGCATTCATACATGTTTATTGTAAATGATAAATGAAGAAAAGCTTGGACAAGTAAATTACAGAGTGAAGGTTTTAGACAATAGTAAAAAAGCACAGAAGCAAATGATCAAATGTTCTTAATAATCTGTGAATAAAGACTGAGATACAACACAAATCTGTGACTTTACAGCGCAGAGTTGCTTCAGACATTTGTCTTCTTCTGGGAGAGATTAATTTTATCACCAAGACTCAAGGCCATACCCTGTAAAACAGTATGGGTTAAAATGGATGAATATAGAAGATAAATTAAATAATGTTTCACTGTTAGCCTGATAGATAGAAGAAAAAAAATTTAAGTATATCCATTTACTTAAGACAAGGACTGTAGTAAGAAATGTTTTTACCTAGATAAACGTTTCAGCTCTAAAACCAATCTAAACCAAATGTATGACTATTTCTCATTCAAAAATAATTATGAATAAAACTACTTACTCTTAAACATGTGAAAATAACATTTTGGAGCATATTTATTATGGGCATATAAAGATAATGGCTAGTGAGAGCAGGTGAAGCAGCAGCTGAGACCTACCTGGCTTTTGGCTCTGATGCGGATGTGACCATTGACAGGTGCATCTGGCCCTAGGTGAATGGGCTTCTCAATGCTCACATTAGCCAGGGCATCTTCACCGAAGATGGAGCGAGCATAAAGATTTGCTGCCATAAAGCCACAGAAACCAGAGAGGGCCTGGGGAAAAAATAACATGATACTGATATAGTCTGCAATACTAATTCCCAAGCAAACAACCTCATCTCTCTGTATCACTGTAAGACTACAAACCTTTTCAGGAGTCAAGCATTTCATGTTAGTGGACTTGAGGATATGTTGAAGGTACTCATTGAGATCAGTAATGTTGGTATTCACTGTCACCTGTTTTTAAAAAAAAAAAAAAAAAGGATGGTTATTTTAACGAATTACATTTTAAAGTAAGTTTTCTGATACAAAATGAAATATTTTATAAGCAATAAAAAATATTACCTTGTTTTCCCATTCAAACTCTGCCCACATTTGCCTGAACTCTGCATCAGTACATGAGGCCGGTTGGATGTAATCCATGATATCAATGTGAATATCACTGAGGACAACGCAGTTTCTGTCACTGGCAGCACCCGACACATCATACACTGTGGATAAAAATACAAAAGAGATTTGAAATTTGTATGTTGTATGTGTAAATAATTCTCAGCTACCATTTATTCAAAGAAAAAGAAATACCGATATTTCCAAATATGATGCCATTCTCTGTTGAGGCCACCTTAACATTAGCCTTAATGTTGGCAAAATCGTGTGGAGCCAGAGTTAGTGGAGATGGTTTTTCAACTAATTTGAGATCGCCTGTAACAAGTAGAAATGACAATCAAAGTGTGCTGATTAGACAAATAGTCTAACAGGTGTAAATGAGGACTAGACTAATACCTAATGTTGCAAGCTCCAGAGTACAGTTTTGAAGAGTGTCACTGGTTTGGTTAACGACGAGCACATCAAGGACAATGTCATACTGATTAACATGAACATAGGCTTCAGCATATACTGGGTCTGAAAAGCCTGTTAGCTGAGTGACCTGAGATATACACAAACAATTAATCATGAGCCCATCCAAGAATAACTTCATAAAAATCTGTGATGTTAAGGTTAGTGAGATCTCTAAACCTTGTTGAGTTTTGAAGCAAGTGGATCTGCTGCTTCCTTCCTCTGAGTGTTCCCCATAGCGGCCAAAAGACTGAGCTGGAACTGGTCCTCTTTAGAAGTCATCTCATTTTTGGCTGTGAGCTGCATAAATGAGATCGGGTCGTCTGCTTGTACTGTCACATTACGTTTCTCAGATTCTTTCTGTAGAGAAGGGAAGATAAAAAAATATAGAAATAACAACAGCAGAGAAATAGCAAAGAAATAACAATAACAAATAATAATATTTCATCTAATAAAAGAAAACAGTAATACACAATAACAGTGCACTGGCTTCAAACCAAAAAATATCAAAACACAATTGAGTTGTTTACACTGTGCTTTCCTGTTGTGACTGCTGGCAGGAGGTTAAGTGCTGAGTTCAAATACTGTTACCTTTTGTGACAGCTTCTCCTCCTCCAGTCTGACAGTCAGCATGTGGGACAGGGATTTGCGGCACTCCTTATTGAAAATGTCGTTCATGAGCGGCGAGCACTCTGACAGCACCTTCAGGCACAGTGAGATGCGGTCCACATCATCATCTGTAATTGGCTTTTTAGGCAGAGACGACTTGCCCAGGTGCAGCACAGTGACCATGATCAGCATGGATTCTGCAACAAAAGACTAAAAAAACAGAATCACAAAGTGAGTGTTGTTAATGAATATGTAAATAAATCGAGCAAGGATTTAATTTACTTACATTCTGTTTCTTTTTGTCTTGAACAATGTCAACGTAACGTAAAGCTAGTTTTGTTAGCGTGGTGGCCAAAGAAGCAGCCACGTAGAAGTCTCCATCCATCAAGAAACCACGAAGTGGAGGCCTATAAAATATAGGCCATGTATTTTTAAACAATTTTAGATGACTGCTTAAAGCGAAAGAAAACAAATGGCAATTTTACCTGTCTTCCTCTTTCTTGGACGGCCTGGAGGAGCTGAGGGCACTTTGGGTCACGTATGTTCCCATTTCTGTTACAAGTTTCTGAGCTGGTGCTGCACTCACTTCATCTTCAGGTTTAACCTCTCCTGTTTCTTTCTTAATTTCATTCTCTACTATGGGGATCTGTAAATTCAAATCATAGTCAGGTGGTTCTCACCATTGTTTAATATTATATATTTATTTATGATATACAAGTTAATTAATGCCAGCAAAAACCAACCTCTCCCAAAGACCTGCGGACCTCTGTCATCACACTCTGAATATCGTCCTTTGTGCTGCAGTACTCTCCCAGTATCCATAGGGCCCCTCTGTAAATTCTTTAGGACACAAGAATTTAACATGATCACTAAATAGTACACCAATAATACAGTCTATGACACAATGGCAATGTTACAACTACAGTGCTTGAAGAAATGCAAGAAATCAATGAGATGTAGAAGTGTGCTATCTACACAATAATATATATATTATGTTTCTCACACATATTTTTTTATGCATGTAATCATTGTTTGTAAAATAGTACAATATGACCCGTGCATGGCCTTTTATAATGTACTAACAAATTATATTCATGATTAATGTTTCTCATGTGCTCATGTATGTGTTGCTTACTTTACAGTTTTGATGGCATGGAAAACCTCCAACATCTTCTCAATGATGAGGGGCCTCAGGTTGTCAAATCTCTGAATAGCTTCTCGCACAAACTCCAGTACATCAGCAGCAGCCGCCTCATTAGTGTCACTTAGGAATTCCATCAGCTGTAAACCACAAAACACACACATTGAGATATTTTCCTATTAAATAAACATATAAACTTTTGCTATGTCGGTCTAAAAAGCATGGATTCATTTCGGTCTGTTTAATTTGACTCACCACTGGTATAACGTTGGCCGCCATGTCTGGGAAGCGTACACTGCATGAGTGAAGAGTGCGCACCAACAGCTGCCTGTACTTATCTGTATCTTCGTGTTCAGTTACATTATTTGTTTTGATCACCTCTTTCTTCAAAACTATCACCAGCTAAAACATAAATCATTGTAAAGAATGCAATGTATTCAAAGATATAGAACTAACTACACAAACAACAAAAAACATACCTCTTCAACATTGCGTGATGAGACAAGGTCCAGTGCCAGCTGCAAGGTCTTCTTCCTCACTTCCAGGTCAGGGGTGGTGAGAACACGCAATATATCCATCACAAGGTCCTGAAGTCAAGGATTAAAACCAAATTAAGATCAGAAATCAACTCACTGCAGCATCAAAAAAGAAAAGGCAAAAAGTACCTGAAGTACACGTTCATGAGTGGGATGCTCTTTAAGTTCAATCAGACGATCAAGGACAATCAGTTTCACATTGTTGTCACTTTCTTTTATGATCAAATCAATGTAGCACTGGGCAGCAGCCTGGAAAAAAAGTTTGTAAGACATTGTACAAATGCTAGAACAAGTATTTAAATAATTGCAGGAAAAAAATCTGTGCTGTGTACTTTAATAGCTGTCGGGGCGCTTGAAAGGGTTACAAGAGTACCAGCTGCCTCATATTTAACAGCTGGACTTGAGGACTGAAGCAAATTGTAGATACATCGGATAAATCTGGCCCGCTCAGAGGGGTTTGCATGACAGACCTAGAAATTGGTTAACAAAAAAGATTTGAAATAGATATTAGGTTCTATTGTTAGACATAATCTAACTTTTTAAACAAACCACAACCCCTTTACGTACTTTGTAAATCAGTTCCACAATAACAAGCTGAAGAATGTCACCAAAGGTATGGACTTGATCAATACAAGTGCTGAGGTAATCCAAGGCCCTGTCCTGTAAAAACAAGTGTGACATAAGCACAAATAGAGAAATTATTAGAGGACACATATAAAATATAAATACTTGGCAATATGAATACAAAATATTACATGCCTGGTCAGCATGAATCAACATCATAAAAGCATTTCTTTTACAGCTTGCGTCTTTTTCATTCACAAGAAAATCGTGAATGAGTTCTGGGGCATCTGGGATGAGGTGTTCAAAGTTCCTATAACAAAATCAAGTGAGTACTGTTATACAACTTATCTCTATAGTTTTACAGTGAACAAATAACAAGAAACAATGGACACTGGGCGTACCTGTAGATAGTGTAAATAGCCAGGACTGCATTGCGGCGGACATAGCTGTGACGATGTTCAAGGCAGGCACGAATGGCTGGCATTAGAGGCTCAAGCAGCTCAGACTCCTTCAGTTTGCACAGGAAGCGCAGCGTAGACCCACGGATGAACTCATTGGGATGCTGCAGGTCCTGCAGAATTCAACAAGACACACTTAATAAATACTTTTACACTTCACAAATTAACATTGTAATATACCAAATATACCTTTCTGTAGGCATCACAGACTAAAATCATCTCCTGAAGCAACTTGCCATCAGGAGTCGTTTTAGGAACGATTTCCCAGAAGACAAGAAGCAACTTTTTGATTGTGTGGTCTTGAAGTGGCAAGACAAAACGGATGATCGTCATGAGAAGTCCAGGTAGTTTCTCGCCATTCAGTATCATAATGATGACTTTCTTTAGTGCTTCAGTTTTTGCCTTGATCTCCCCTTTTTCTGCAAATACAAATTACTACAATCAGGCACAGTTCTGTACATTACCTCACTTTTAACTAGTAGTCCAATAGTTACCCAAGTCAGTTTTGAGGCTGACTTCAGAGGGAGGCTCTGAATCAGAAGTGACATTGATCAGGGTGTAGCAAACGTTTTCTGCAGCTGTCATCTTGCTGCTACTAAACTTAATTCCTTATATAGATTCACAATAGTGGAGGGAGACAGAACATCTGAGCAAGACAAAAGAAATAGGTTACAAACTGCAATAAAAATGCATTAAATTATCATTATACAGCATAATGTAAAGTCTAGCATAGTGGGACATTACGTTATCAAATAGCCGAGAAATGTTTTGGGGCCAGAAAAACGTGTTTTGCTTTTTAAGCATATAATGACATTTGCCATTGCAACAGATATCTCAAATCCAAAAGGAAGACATAGACAGGGTTCCCACTCTTTTTCACTGACAAAATTTCAAAACTTTTCCATTTCTTCATGACCTAAAGTGAATTTTACAGCATTCTATGTGTGTAAAATTTTGCATACTTTTAAGGCTAAATCTGAAATGTTAACCCTTTCCACTCATCTTATGGTATTATAGTTTTTTTAACATTCAAAATACTGTCAATGCATTTATTGTAGTATCTTTTAAACAACAGCTGCATACGTTCGGAAATAATCATAAAAGCCTAATGATAACTTAACAGAACGATGTAGTTGCGTGAAAGAGATATTAAATTCCATGACTTTTCAAATAATATTTCGATTGGGAACCCTGCATAGAAGACGGGTGGATAACACATAAGAAAATAACTATCATAGGGAAAAAAAAAAAAAAAAAAAAAAAAAAAAAAACTGGGACAAATCACTGGTTTTGCATAAAAAACTGCTGGGACAGGGGACACAGGGCTCAAAACTGAGACTGTCCCGGGTAAATAAGGACGTCTAGTCACCCTGCTCTATCAAACAACTGTGTAGCATTGACGGAATCTGACACGTAGCATCTGAGTCCATATTATGCGTTTAAAAACCCGGCCGCAGTGACAATCGGTTGTTTAAACGCACAAAGGCACAAAGTCACATGTCATATGAGTTCAAGTAACACATCTGTAGGAGTTTGATCACTTACTACAATATAAGCCATAAGCTAAATGCTAGCGCAAAACAACTTAGCCTCTGCAAAGGCCATCAATGAAATGGAGGACAGTACATCGGCTAGCTCAAGTTAAACACAGATCGGGAAAGAGAAACTGCGTATTAGGAACAAAAAGATAACATGTCTTACCAAAATGCACAGCTAGTATCCTCTGGAAGCTATCAGAGCCTTGTATTAGTATTTACATGTGTGAAAAGCTGAGTGAGTGTTCAGACGAGCTGCGGCTCTCCTCTCCACTTCCTCGTGACGTGGAAGATTACCTCCTGAGCCACATCAGTACTACAGCGCGCCGCGAGGGACAAAAATTGAGGCATTTTTTTTCTCTTCACAATATAATGATAAAAGTATATATATATATATATATATATATATATATATATATATATATATATATATATATATATATATATATATATATATATATATATATATATATATATATATATATATATATATATATATATAAATAAATAACAAATTAAAACATTAAAACATAGGCCTATGTGCAAAAACCTAATAGATTTCTATTATTGTGTTGCCAGCAGCATCTCTTTTTGCAATAAGCTTTTCTATTAAACTTCCAAATGTTTATGTGTGTGTATAAAAATCATTAACCATGGCTTAAAATAAATAACCTGTTATTTGTTTTAGAAGAAAATTAAATAATTTTAATGTGCATTTGGATTCTAGCCTAACTTGACCCAGATGAATGGTTTGTGATACCCTCTAGTGGGCATATGGGAAAGTACTCATTTCAATTGAGAAAGAAACTCAAAAAGGTTTTTTAATTGATTTGAAAAAGAAAAACTTATATCGCGTGTATCATTACTGCCAACTACAGTCAGATTTAAATCTTGAAGGTATTTTTTTTTTCTTTCTATAAATTGTGCTGGTATTTAAGTAGCTTTGAACCTACATTAGGATCCTGACTTATTCATTAAGTGAACGACAGACATTGCGTCTTAGCTATTGTTTTACTTTGGATAAAGCTGCCTTTTACAGCTGCACATTTTTGTCTCAAGAGTAGGCCTTCTGTTTATTACCTTACTATAACTTACAATGTGACAGAGAACAATATAAGTGCAAGACTGAATTGTGGCCCGTGGGGGGCGACAGGGAGTCCCAGTTCTGTAAAAACAACATCTCACCTTCTTTCTTTAGTCCAAGTGGTGGAGCACGTTTGGGTGACCATGGAGTGCGTTTGCTGTCATGTAGTTGAGCGCTAATACGGCGTGAATAGCAGAAGAGGGGGGCTTTCGTGCGGGGAAGAGGACCGATCGGTCGAGTCATGGCTGCACGGGAGGACGGAGAACTCCTGCACGGTAAACTACGGCACCACGACCGCGTTGGAAGTGTAAACAGCTCCGAGGCTTTCAGGAACGGCTATGTGAAGAGCTGCGTCACCCCCCTAAAACAAGACCAGCAAAGGGGATTTTTGTTCAACCTGTGCAGCTTTTGCAATGAAGACATACTGAATTCCAAAGTGTTAAAGGTCTCCGCTGTGTATGTGGGCGCGTTTGTGTTCTTTGCGCTTTCGTTTGTCATATCCAGGAGCTTGCAAAGTGACTCGTTCTGGGATTTGAGGACTTTTTTGTCGGGGTTCTCTCAGTCAGTTAGTCCTTTATTTAGTATAGGATGCGCCTTTTTCTTTTTAACATTTTATTTGAGACGGAAAAAGAAAGAAAGTAGTAAATGTTGGCTCCTGTCACTGCCAGCATCGTGCTACCTCGGGGATTTTTTGGTTTTGCGGTTTCTGCAATGGGGAGAAGAGCAGCACCAGATACAAATGGTGGGCAGGTTGTTATTCGTGTTAGGATGTGTGGGTCTACTCACACTCGTGCCCACTCTCAAACTTAAACACAGTGTGCTCATACTGGTCTTCGCCAGTGTTGTTTGGCTCGCCTCTTTCACAAGTTTGAGCGGACTGCCAGTGCTCCTGAGGCCGCTGTTCGCCTGCTTCGCCGGCTTCTGCGGCTCTCTTCTGGGGCTGTGTTTTGACCGCTTCTACCCTGCGAGGGAGGCGACCTGCGGCAGCCCCAGCACGGATGAGAAGGTGCCTGTTATCCGGCCTAGAAGACGCTCCAGCTGCGTCTCTCTGGGAGAAACCTCCACCAGCTACTATGGCAGCTGTAAAATGCCCCGCAGACCATCACTGCCCTGTATATCACGGGAACAGGTAGGTCTCACATGCAGCACACTAATGCCCAGTCCTCCTGTAGGCTATGTTCAGCTTACGCAGCCTAAGTGATTACTTTAGGCTATTTAAAAATACAATGAATTAAGCTCCTGCCCCAAGATTAAAAGATCCACATGGCCTGAATCTTTATGATTTTTTCTCTTTTGCTTTATTGTACTCACACATTTGAACATTATGTGTATTCAGCAACATAATGCTAAAACTTCCTAAATATGAAATTAGGCTACTTGCAAATACCTATATTTACAAAATAATCATGAGATACCTTGTAATAACTCCCTTAATAACTCTCTAATGTTTGTTGTTATTGTTTTTGTTTTTGTTTGTTTGTTTGTTTTTTACTGTAAACTAAATGACAAAGACACTCATTTTGCCTAGCACCTTTGGTCACAACTTTTCACACCAAATCATAACTTTGAAAAGTGTTTGCTCAGCTCTATGCTAACTTATCCTAAATTACATTCATAAAGAAATGTTTAACAGAGAAAAAAGAGGATTAAAGAAGGCTAAAACTTGATGAAATTAGGTCTAAATCGACTCTACATCAGGATTTGAGCTAAAAGTGCACTTCCAGAATAAACTTCATTGTTATGACTAGCATGTAGGCCTACCTGGAACACAGCAGGAGCAGATTTATTTCAGTCAAAATGTCTTCGTTTGGTGTATGGTTAAATTTCAGATGACTAAAGCTTTAAAAAAGTGAAATGATTTGAGAGTTGTCTTAGACTTGTCATTGCGCCATGGCACATGCTCCTAAACCAGTTTGTTTACATGCAGTACCTCAGCTCGCACGACCAGAGAGCCCGCTTTTACTTTATTAAAATAAAATCACATCCATACCTTTACTGAGTAATGACCAGGGTTTGGAAATACAGGGGAAAATTATATTAAAATTGTAGATTTTAAGTTGTCTTAAATTATAATATAATTGTTTAAAATAAAAACCTGTGTCAGTTAAAGATAAGCAAAAGATGTGTTATGTTTCTCTCGTAGTTCATTTTAAAATCAATACTAGAACCTTAAACTGCTTGTTATCAGACAGTATAATAAGAACATATGTAGATATCCGTTTGTGTCACTATCGCTCAGCCCTTGTGGTGACTATGTAGTTGTAGAAACCTGCACTGTTTGCTGGATGGTTTGGGCTTTTTGAAACATTGCTCCTAATAAAGTAACATGTAATTCTCCAGCGTATTCTGGACACATTGTTTGTGTCCTTGGCACAACTAAATTGTACTTTTTTAGTTGAGTTGTTTCCAGTAGTTGTTTTCAACATCATTGCAGACTATTACTATATTAGCTATGGAGTTCAAGGCCTATTCATGCACACTGTGCATTATACTTCCAGTCAGTGCATGCTGTCATTAAGTTTTTGGGCAAGATACTTCACTCACATGTTCTATGTTTATGTGAAAATGATGACGGCCAGATGGGCTTACTCTTAAAAAAATAAAAATAAAAAATGTGATAAACAAATCACATACAAATAGCAAAATACAAATTAAATAAATATATATTTGAATTAATTTTCTATTCTACTTTTTTGGAAATACTACATATTGGATTTGACGTTTGCAGCTGTATGCTTAATGGAGAAAGCAGTGTTTTCTGTCCTTGTTTATGTGTATAGTCATTATACAGTAATGGCATGATACACATATTGCAATGAAATGCTGGTTCATAGTTTGTTTTTTTATATTATTGTTAAAGGATAAAAACTAAAAACAAAAACATTATTGTTCACCAGTGTTTGGCGAGGCACTGTGGACTTGCAGTCTCACCACTCGCAATGTCACTTTTGTTTTCTTACTATACCACATTGGCTCCTTGTACCAGGTAGATATGTTTTTGAAATCATAAATATTGTTGACTTCTTCCTCTAGGTCACAGGGCTGAAAGGAGGAGTCACTGCAGGGTCCAGTGCTGATGTTACACATGGTCTTCCTATTTGTACACATTAACAGGAGCCCATCGCCCAAACAGGACTGTTCTGTTAGATGTTCACCGTCACTTCAATAAAATATTATGTTGTTTTATTCAAATGAAAACCATGAAAACCTGAAACAAAAAATAGACTGAAACCTTAGGGACAGACCTGTTAATGTGTTTTTTAAATTTTCACAAAAGAACAAGGGCTATTGTAAAGGGATTGAAGTTTTAATCAGTTGCTGAGATGTACAATTACTTTTTTTGCAAACATTTAACCAGTGTAAACCAGCCAACTTTACTGGAGATGCCTGATCTAAAATAATATTAATGTATCAGTTTCAAATTATTATTATTGTTGTTATTGTTGATTTCACATTTAACATTGAGTGTTGTGAAAGCCCTGTTGAAATCCAGTCATCATTTCCAACAATAAAATTGCAAGTATCTTGTCCACTGGGCTTTAGTCTGCACAAGCCACGAAGTACCACCAGTATGAGAAGTAAAACAACTTTTTTGTATTTGTGCATATTTTTCCATTTCTTTCACAGTTTTTGGTTGCAATTACCATTACCATGCATTTTATGAGCACTGATGTTTTGTAGTGCAATGGTCGCCACAGCACTAGACTGTTTACTCATAATGCAACAATAGTGCAAGAAGGAGAATGTTTAGCATAACCACTTCCATCTAAACTGCACGGATGTTGTTCCAGCTCTCACTGCTAAGACGGTGAAACTGGAGTAAGATAAGGGATGCATAGGAACATATAGATAAATATTGTCAGTGCGGTCATGTGATGCTTAATAAGGCAGAAGTGATTGCAGGATGGCACTTTATGGTAAAGTCAGACATACATGAGAGAGGAGCAGTGCACTACAGCTCTGAAAGGTGAAGTTTGGAGAGAGAGAAGACCGTATTACAACTCTGAACACTCAGCTTTAATTGTGTGTAACTATTGTCAGTAGAGTAACTTAAGACAGTGTTTCTTGATACTACCACTCTATATAACTATAAATTGTCTTTAGGCATTGCTCTAAGATATTCTTACAGTATTTTACCATTATTTGTCTTTTAGGTAAATATCCATCCAAATCTTTTGCTCAGAAAAATATATCCTTTTGTTTTCAATGTACATGAGTTGGTCATTGTACAGTAGTAGTAGTAGTAAAATGATTTGAATGTGGTTTTTTGGTTGTAAAAAGCCTGATGCACATCCTAATAGAGAAGCTTCCATTAGCGCTGGGCCCGGGGCAGGCCTGTCTTGTGTGTGGACTCTCCTGTGAGGAGAGAGGAGGGGCAGGCCTGAATAACACTTAACTGGCCGTACAGAGGCACAGACTGCAGAGGAGCAGGAGCCCGCGCTGCGCTCAGCTGTCACGTTCGCTCGCACTGAAGCCATGTGGAATGATATAACATTGACGTCACAGCCCAGTGACGTACCTCATGGTGATGGCAAAGAAGAAAAAAAATGCCAAGTCTTATTAATGGCCCTGTACAATATAGAGTGTGCCCCCAGCAGAGAGCAGAGGAGCCGAGAGCCCAAAGACAGTATGCTTTACAGACGGAGGCACTGGGGTTATACCTGTTACCAGCATTGCAAAACTGTATTCAGCTGTGCAACAACGGTGTTGTTGAAGTTAAAAATTTCCCTTATTTTTTATTTTAGATTAAAAAAAATAGCTCACACACAGTTAGAGCCAAAAAGAGAAAAACAAAACAAAAATCTTGTGTCCAATATGAAGGAAGGCAGTGATCAGTAAATTACAATATGTACCGCAAGTGATTAAATCAACCAGCTGTGATATGTTTACATTAATTAAAAAAGGAATATATATATATATATATATATATATATATATATATATATATATATATAAACTATTAACTTGTTTCATTTTTTTTTCTTTCACAAAATAGTTTGATTTTTTGCCTTTAAATCTTAACCCAAAATCTTAAATCTTATTTACCTTGAGTTTGGCTGAGGAGGAAATCCATGCTCAATGAAGCACAGAAAATAGGATGCACCATGGCAACAATAAACCAGAGGAGACTAGCATATTAGAGGAATAAGAAGTCATGTGACTATGGACAAGCAAGTTATAAATACAGTAATAGCAAGTAATAAATAATTATAAAATTATTACATTTACATTAGTCTCTTCGTATTATTGTATTTAGAAGCTTACAAAACACAGAGATAGTTGTGTATTTTTTATTTATTTTTTCATCACATGATGCCATGTTAATTAACATTATGGGATTGTTGAGTGTGACATCGTCACAGTTGTTTGGGTCCAAACATTCAAGGTTCCATAGACACTAACACAAACTGGGACAAGGCATCAGGGCATAATTTATGTCTGAAAATCCTCTCCAGTGGTAAACTTGAGTACACATATCACCTTTGTTTCTTTTTATTGATTTATATATATTTTTTATACAAAGCATTTTTTATACACAGCATTATACAAAGCCCGAAGCTAATTTCATTGGGTCTGAAAGTAGCCAAAGTCAAGTTGATGACATCATCACGTAACAGTCCCAAAAGTTTTTCACACAGTGTCATGTTAATCTTTTTTTTATGTTGAAGCAAATTTTTCATGACATCAAACAAAGAAACTTGATAAAAGTAATCTGTTAAGTATCATGAAAGGATATTATAAGTATTCATTTACTGAAAGTGAAAAATGTATTTACATTATAAAAGTTGAATCCTCATTATCCTGCCCTGATGACTCGCCGGTTACATTAATCCTGTTTTTAACTTTCCCCCCAGTGGTTGTGTGAAAGAGGAAGTGAACTGTCCAATCAGAGCTCTCATTCAGCTTTAGACTGTGACTAAACTCTGGGTGAGAGGAATAAATCCTGCTCTGGACCAGGTTAATTCACAGTTACTGTGGTGACTGGCCCAGGTTTTAGATTAATGCTCAGTGAAACAGACACTGTTAATTGTGAGATGAGCTCAACTCAGAGTTTAGGATAAATTAGTTTCTTGAAAAAAGGACAGAATGTATTTGTGTATTTATTGGTACATTGTATTCTTATATTAG